CTTATTTAGCTTATAGAATAATTCTTAGGAATAGAACTATAATCTTTTCTCTTATCCTATATTATATACGGTTTTAATAGAAAGCTAGCTAAGTTTACTAAGAAATATATAAAAGTTTTATTTCTAATTAATAAATAAAGTATTAATATACCTATAATTATCCTAGATCTTAAAAATTATAATATTATTATTATTAGAAAATAAGTAATATATATTAATATTCTAGTTAATTATAGAAAATATAGGCTTATATTATTAGTACTTCTTAGTAATAGCTAGAGAAGTAACCTAATAAGAAGTATTAAAAAGATATTAATTAATAAGATTTTATTATAAGCTATTTCTAGAAATCTTTTATTCTTAAGTAGTTTTTTTTCTTTTAAACTAATTAGAGGAAATTATATAAGACTATAGAAAAGAAGCTTCTATAGCCTAATTAAGATATAATACCTAAGTAAAAGCTAAAGAAGCAAGAAAAGATCCTTAATAAAAAGCAAATATTAGACCTAGCTATTTTTACTTTTATAGTATTTAATTATATAGCTAAGAGAGAAAATAATATTATTAGTTAAATCTTTATCTATAAGATTAATAAAGAGCTTAAAGCTCGAAAAAAAGAAGCTATCCCTAGCCCAGAGAATTAATAACTAGAAGAAATAGAGCTTTAATAGCTATAAAGAATATTATTCTCAAAACTTAAGAAATATACCTCTATTTTCTCTAAGAAAAAATTTAATACTTTTTCTTTCTATAGACTATATAATTATAAGATTTAGATTAAAGGCCTAAAGAAAACTAAAAATATTAGATATTAATTCCTCTAGTAATAATTTACTTAAGAGCTTCTAGAAATTAAGTATTTCTTAGAAAATAATCTGGCTAAATGCTTTATTAAAGCTAGTTAGGCTTCCTTTATTTTACTAGTTCTTTTTATAAAGAAAGCAAATAGAGGTTTATAATTCTATATTAATTTTTATTATCTAAATAATATTATTCGAAAGAATTAATATTTTTATTTATTTATTAATAAGACTTTAAGTTAATTATCTAAAGCTAAGATCTATACTAAATTAGATATTTACTAAGCTTTCTATTATATAGCTATAAACCCGGACTTTTAGGAGCTAATAATATTTCATATCTGCTATAAAGTATATAAATATAATATTCTCTAAAAAGGTCTTATAAATAGCCCGGCTATATATTAATACTATATAAATAATATGTTTTTCGAGTATCTAGATAACTTTTATATAATATATCTTAATAATATTCTTATTTACTTAGAAGACCTAGTAAAATACGAATAGTATATATAAAAAGTACTAAATTACTTATATCTTACTAGCTTTTAAGTAAATATTAAGAAATCGGAATTTAAAGTTATATATATAAAGTACTTGGGCTTTATTATCTTTATATCTAGTATTAAAATAAATCCTAATAAAGTTAAAGTAATATATAACTAGTAATTCCTAAAGATAATTAAGGGTATATAGTTTTTTCTCGGCTTCTATAACTTTTATAAATACTTTATTAGAAAGTATAAACGAATTATTAAATCTCTTATTTTATTTATAAAAAAGAGTATTTCTTTTAAGTAATCCGAGTAATATTAAGAGGCTTTTACTTGCTTAAAGAAAGCTATAATTTCTATTTTAGTTCTATAATACTATAATCCAGATCTGCCTATAATAATAGAAATAGATATATTTAAAGAAGTAATTACTAGCCTACTCTCTTAATAAGACCTAGAAATAGGCCTTTAGTATCCTATAGCCTATTTTTCCAGAACTATATTCCCGGTAAAGCTTAATTATAATATATATAATAAGGAAATACTTGCTATAATATAAGTACTAGAGAAATAGAGAACTAAGCTAGATAACTTTTAGGACGCTTCCTTTAAGATCTATTCTAATTACTATATTTTAGAATACTTTATAACTATAAAGAAGCTCTTTTTTTAATAAGCTAAATAGGCTAAGCTTTTATTCTGCTATTACTTTAAGCTTATATATTATTCTAGAAAATTAAATAAATAAATAAATACTTTATTATAAAAATAAGATAAAATAGATATTTAGAGCCAGATTAAGGAAAAGCTATAAACTCAAGTACTTTTTCCTAAAGATAAGATTAATCCGGAGATTATTTATAACTTATAGCTTGTAGTAATACTTTATAAAGTCGGCTTACTTAATCCGGAATTTGGCTCTAAAAACTAAGTATATACTAAAGACTTTCCGGAGAAGAATACTCCTATTAGAGATATAATTTCCCTGAAAAAAGGTATTATATTAGAAGCTTTACTAGTAAACTCTATTATAATAGCTCTTATAGAAGTACTATTAGAAGCTCCTGCCAAATATAGTAGTTTATAACTTATAAATAAGATCCTATAAGATAATTATATATTACCGGATTTAGAAAAGCTATATATAATAGCCTAAGCTAAAAGTAATATCTAGATATTATAAGACGGCCTTCTTTTATATTATAAGAAACTTTATATTATAAAGAATAAAATAATTCCCGAATTACCTTTATAGACTACCCTAATCTATAAAATATATAATAAATTCCTTTCTGGATATCCTAGATATATAAAGCTCTATTAGTTATTAAAAAAGTAATATTACTAGTTATTTATAGGCAAGAATATTAATTAATACTATAGTAATTACTATACTTATAGGAAATTATATATATTCAGAAATAAGAAGCCTGATTTATTTTATTTCCTTCTAGTTCTTAATTATTTCTAGTAATATATTACTATAAACTTTAAGAGCTATTTAGAAAGCAAATTGGGCTATAATATAATTACTATATTCGTAAATTACTTATTTAAGTATCTAATTATAATTCTTATATAAGATATAATTATAGTCAAGTAGCTAGTACCTCTATTTTTATTTTATATAATATACTAAATAGATATTTCAGAAATAATTATATTAGATTAGGGACTCTAATTCATATTTGATTTTTAAAGCAAATTCTATATAAGAATTAGTATAAAGCTTAAGCTCTTTATAGCTAATTACTCCCAAATAAATAAATAAATAAAGATTATTAATTAGTATTTTAATTAGAGATTATATTTATATATTAATTATTACTAGAATAACTAGGATAAATAGGTTATTATAATTAATTATTAATAAGCCTTCCTTTAATATAAAACTATTAGCTAGTTCCTATTTATAACTAAAAAGAGCTATAAGCCTTATACCTTACTAGACTAGAACTTTCCTATTAAAGCTAACTTACCTAAAGAGAAGCTAAATAAGAATAAAGCTAAAATATTAGTAAATTAATTATATGAATTATAGTAACTTGCCTAAGGCTATATAAAGTAAATATAGGAATAATATATAATATAAGCTAATAAATACTATTATCTAATTAATTTCAAAGTCGGGAATAAAGTATAAATTACTATAAAGTACTAGAAATCCGATTATTCGAGCCAGAAGCTAGAGAACTAAATAGAAGGCCTATTTGAGATTCTAGAATAATATAGCTACTTGTTTTTCCTAAAACTACTAGAAACTATAAAGATATATCTAGTTTTTTATATAGAAAAGCTATAAAAAAATCTCTAGAATTCCTTACTAGATTAAGTAAACCCGGAACTGCCCCTATTAATATTAGAGAATAGTAAATAAGAATATAGTATTAAGCGAGTTATTATAGTTAAGCTAATAAGAAATAAGCTAAAATATAGAATTTATTAGATTAGTTAGGATAAGGATCTAGTATAATATTTAGCTTTAGTACTAAGTAATAGCCTCCTGGTTTTATAGAGTTTCTATAATAATAATATTAATAAATTAGGATTTTTATAAAACCTATAATATTAGCTAGACTATATAAAAAATAATACTTGTCTAGAATTATATAGAAATAATAATAAATTCTCCTAAGTTATATAATAAAGACCCCGGTCTTTTATATATAATATTTATATCCGAGATACTAGTTTATTTTAGGAAGGAAAATAATATGAAATTAAATAGATTAATAGCTTTTATAAAGCTCGGGAACAAGCTTATTCTAAAGAAGAAAGTAATATTATAATTCCTAGATATCCGGTATCTAAAATACCTTACCAGATACTAGATGCCTTCTAAATATATATAATATGGCTATCTTACTAGGGAAGTATACTTGAAATATACTAGAGATATTTAGAAGGCTAAGCCCCTTCGGGACTAGTATACTATAGAGTATATATACTCCCTTGCAGCCTCCTATATTCTAATTTTCTTTTTCTTAGCTTTGAATTGTCTTTATAAGAGACCTTCTATCTTGCTTTCTAAGCCCTAAATGCCGTACCCGTAATAACTAGTTACTCGAATTATAATTATAATTAAAACTAATATTAATATAAATCGGCCTTAATAAAAACTTAATTTAAGAATAAACTAGGCTTTTAAAAAGAGAGAATATAATAATAACACGTGCTTTACTAAGCTTTTAGTATTAAGGCTTAGTTCTAAAACGTATTTTAATCTTATTAAGGCTTAAATAAATATTTTTCCAAAATAATTCTCTTTTTTCCTTCTTTACTTTATTTATTTCCTTTATAACTAGCCTATTGGATTAATTCTTTTAGTCTTAGAATATATTCTTATATATTTCTTCTAAGCTTGAGATTACTTATACTATTATAGTTATTTAGTAATAAGGCAAAAATAATAGAGCTGCTATTAAAAGTATTTTTAATAACCTAAAAAAGAATATTAATTTAAGGAATTATATTAAAGTAATAAAGCCTAAAGGTTTTAGAAAATGGATTATTAAGTAGAATTATACTTATTAATAAGAATACTAGGAAGTTTTCTAGGTTTATATCTTATATTTAAAGAGAAATATTTAATAGCAAGTTATTATTAAGAAGCCCGGCTTCTACCTAAGCTATTATAGTATTTAATAATTCTATAATAAGAGTAGTTATAATAGTAATTGCATTTAAGAGGGCTTTCTTTCCCATGTCTACTTGTATAGTTAAGGCTAGTCCTATAAGTTTCGAGAAGGCCTCAAAGAATTGCGTTATAACAAATGTGGCCATGACGCGGCTTATTGTGGAACTGGTTGTCAACCCGGCTTTTGGTTTCTGCACGAATATCTCTAATAATAGTACCTGTGGTAACAATGTGACCTGCGAAGGCAGTGTGTTTAGCTCCTGTAAGTCTCGAACTCCACCTAAGCTTTCCTCTCTTCCCGTCCTTTCCCAAATTTGTGCTCTAAATCGGGATTAAGTCAAGAAACAGGTTGCTCTGAATTCTTTTTCTGTGGAACAGGTGACTCTTTCTGCGGGGCTGGTTGTCATCCTGACCTTGGATTTTGCAACCAGACAAGCTCATTGACGCTTTCATTCGCCCCATCGAGTATAATTCCAAGCTCGACAATGGTAATCGCAACATCAAGCACTGCTGCGTCTTCTTCCGCAACTCCCTCTCCGTCAGGGGCCTGCACATTCTCGCCTGGCCTAGGCAACACAACTCTTGCCAGCACGCCAGCGTCAGCAGATTATAACTTTTCAGGCGTAGCTTATTCCTTTGGCGTTCTTAACGGCACTACTGCTGGATCTTAGCTGTACGCAGGACTCAACCAAACCGTGAACGCAACCGAACAATTCGCTTACTACCAAGTATTGACCGACATCGAGCCGCCTAGCATTGGCTGCTCAACATTTGGCTACATAATCGACGTTGATTCTGGTCTCTGCCTCACTGCGAACAAAACGCAAGGTGCCTATCCGGATTTCGAGGGAGCGGAATTGATGCTAGAGCCCTGTTATTCCTGTAGTACCACAGGCGGGCCGCCACAGGAGCAGCTGTTTTGCTCGGATTTTTATACCCAGGGTGTTTACGATCCCTATCAATGTATGCTGTTCTTTGGAGATGCAACATTCCCGGACAGCTTCTATGGTCCCACTTATGGATAGTCTGGAGCAGATAAACTGTCAATGATGCTTATTAATGGTGGAGATTGTATCTTCCTCCTGTTTCCTCTAACTTGAGCTTGAGAAACTCTCTGCGGGTTTACCTTTGTTGTACATAATTTCTCATTGACGTTTGTCCTGGTCGTTTGAATTAGTGTGCTCGAATGAATGGACTTAAAATTTGTCGACTGAAAGTCAAAGTGCTTTGAACACGAGGCTTCACAGCTCCAAAATGTGTCCAGACAGAAAATTTACATTGAATGAAACAACTTTTCTGCTGTCTTGGGCTAGCCTGGTCAAAGGTGAATCGTCCCATGTATTTAAAATGGCGGTTGCCCTAAAATAAACCATGAGTCTTTTTGAATACTTCAATCCGACATCCTTCTTCAATGCTACGGAGAACACCCAAACCACAACTCAATCAACACAGCGGTTTCCTCAATCTTCAATCTGTGCCTTCTTCGATATTTAACAAGCAAAATCGCACATTTTCAACTTTCATCCTGATTCTAGATTTTCTCCGTGATGTTTCCCTCAGCGAGCCAACACTCGAAGCAGACTCACTTTCTCTATCCGTCCCAAAATCAAGATAAATGTTCCAACGCTAGCTCTTCCTCTTTGAGCAGGAACGGAACCGCCACTTGGGGCGACAGCGCTGCTATCGATAGGAGCCTAACAGAAGCTTTTGAGATTTCGGACCAAGGTACTCATCCAGTCATCGGGTCTCGGGATGAACTAACACGACATAAGCTCTAAGTTTAATTTGCTAACAAAAGATAACCTACCAAGAATTTCGAGGTTTTCCTTGGGCTTAGAATGTTCTTGAACTATCTTTTCATACAACTCTTTCGAATCTGATTGACTAGCAATGACTAGCTTACGCCAATCCTTCCAAATAGCAGTATTTGGCAGCAGTCCGACTTCATCTACCCAGTCTCCGTTCCCGAAGCGCCGAAGCAGCAGACCGTAAACGTGGGTACGGCTGGGAACATTCGTGCTGGTAATCTTTGAAAGGGATCCTAAGCAGGATTTTGCGTTGAGGTATTTGCCAATTTTAACGTTGGCTTGACCGAGGATGTTCATTGCAATAAATGACACTTGGTCATGCAGCGTGCCGTTTGGAATAGAGACGAAAACAAACACCAAGATCAGAAGGGTTGTGATACGAGTAAAATACTCGGTAAACTTTGAAGAAACACTGTCTTTGACCTCGACGCCAAGCCCTGTCCAACGGCTGATATCTTGGCGACTTCCCTCAAGAATCAAGCACGAGTTTCGTCGACCAATTATAATCACCGAATCTAGGCAGTCGGGCTGCGAAGGAGAGCTTGTGGCGATGTATATGCATTGGCTCTCGATAATACGCAGGGCGATTGACCACCCGGGTAATACTGCACAGTTCACAATGCCAACCCATGAAGTGTCTGGCAGGATTGCCAATAATGTTATTATCGCCGCTGTAATAATCCAAGTGGCAAGCATCCAAGAGAGAGACCGAATGTCTTTCAGATTATTTCTAGTGTCCTGTAAGGCGGGAATCTGATAGACGGAATATCTGGAGTCGCAAAGAAGATTATAGGAGGCTATCGTATTCGCAAGACGAAGATTTCGTAACGGGGCACTCTTCCTTCCCAACTGGCTTATATATATCGGTCCAACCTTCTCTATGGCCACGCTATAGCTCCGCAAATAGCTTTGCAGTCCAGCAGCAGGCGCAGTACATAGAATTTCATAAATCGACCGTCGCATTAGCCGATAATTCAGCTCTTCATCTTCACTCAGAAGGACCATGAATGAACTGAGGTCGAAGGTCCAGACATTGGTGTTCGCATGCGTCATTTTGTGAAGATTCGATAGCTGAAAAGGGTGGATGGCATTCTTTGAAAGCATACAGCGTCTTTATTTTTGTGCTCCTGCAGAACCTGCAGTCAGACCTCGCCTCAGCCCCGCGTCAGGCGCACTGGGGTGGCACAGCAAATGAAACCCCGAGGCAGAATTAACCTGGCTAGGGGTCTCCAAAGTGTTCAGGGATTCAATATGAAACCATACTCTGTGTTAACTCCTTCTAAATCCCCAGCCCCCCTCTTTTAAATAAGATGAAACAACAATGTGGCATCGTGCGAAAGACGATGGTGAAGAATCTAGAAGAGAAGCAGGTGAGATTTTAGGACATTCTTTTCTAGCGAATCGTAGTCACATGAGCGTGCCAGATGAAACGACCCGTTGGCAAGCGACTGAAAGCGAGCTGGATACGGAAAGCCATAAGGATCAAGTGATCAAGCGATTTTCGAATCCGGTTTTCAATGTCTGATTTGTGGCACGTGCGCACCCTACCAAAAATCGCCCGTAACCAAAATACCGTATTTTGCATATATAACCACTATTATACTCGTATATATAACTTATATAAAGGTAGCCAAAATAAAGCTATTTGTAGTTACTAAATATATTAATATTTGTATTTGTCTTTACTATAATATCTCTAGTACCCCCTCTGCTCCCGCCCCTGCCTCTGCCTCCTCTTCTCAATTACTATTAACCCCCCTTTAACTTGCGTGGTCCGTATAGTAGATCCCATGAATTGCAAGGCATATCTTTCTTACTATTATTATCCTTACTATTATTCCCTATAATACTCGAAATATCTCTATCTCTATTATTCTCTTTATTTTTATTCTTACCCTCTTTCTCTCTCTTTCCCTCTCCCTTTATTAGTCTCTTTGCTTTATTACTCTATTTCGAGGGTATTTATAGCTTTAAAGATTAAGGTTTTATAGAGGCTAACTTGGGAAAAGCTAGATCTTTTAGTACTATATTAAGGCGGTATAAGATATATACTTTACTACTATTATTATATTTGTAATTATAATAGGCTCAGTCGAATTTGCCCTGAACTTGTATATATTTCTATTACGGGCCTTTGGGATTCTTTTTTATATAATTAATATAAGATATAGGTACTAAATAACCTCGAGTTTGACTATATACCGCCTCTAGATTTACTATAATCTTCGGATTATCTAAGTTAGTTAGCTTCTTTCTAGGATAAAACTTTATATCTCGAATTTCTGGTATTTTATAGATATCCTTTATAACTTGTATTATCTTATTAGGGATATTAAAAAGCTCGAGATAGAACTATTTGTTAGTAGTAGTAAGAGGAGGTTATAAGGTATTTAAAAAAAAAAAGAGGTTTAGTAGATTTAATAAATTATTATTCTAATATTTAATTAGTACTATATTCTAGCCTTTTATATAGGGAGAGTATAACTTACTGCTTCTCTATAGTTCCTCGAGGCTTAAAGCCTTTATACTCGAGCTATATTATATTACTTATCTTTACTAGATAGGTATAAGTTATTAATATTATTAATATTATATATATTATATTTCTTCTCTTTCTTTAAGGACTTTTTTGGTAGTATAATAAAGAATTATATTTACCTTATAGTAGGAAGAAAGGCTTAAATAATACTTGAAGAAAGAAGAAAAGAAATAAAGAAGAGGTTAGGTATAGTATTATAGTTAAGAGAAGGAGGCTTAGTTAGAAGGAAAAGAAGGCCTTTTTATAATACCCTTTTCCCGAGAAGTAATTACAAATTCGGAGTTATCTTTATATTATAAAGGCCTAAAAAATATAAAAGAATAGATTTATAAATAATCCAGAAGATCGGATTAACTTTTCTAAGCTTTCTGCCTTATAAAGTAATAATAAATTCATAAATAGAGGCAAAGATAGAATTAATAAGCTAACTAGAAAATAGAATTAACTTTATAAATAATAGTATTTATTATACTAGTACTACTTTTATAATAGGGAATTATAGGATATAATTCCGGGGCTAAATAGTAAATTAGGTAAGCTATATCTATAACTCTACTACTAATATAATACTAGGGTATAGATAGAGAATTCCTGGTTAGGCCTAAAGAATATAGGATTAGGTTAGGAAGCCTAGATAACTTTGGAATTATATAAATAGTAAGTTGCCCTCTCTAAATTTTATACTAGTTTTTCGGATCTAGGGAATTATATAGTTATATAATACTAAAAATAAGCTTTCTTTATATATAAGAGTAGAAATATTAGTATTATTTAATAATCTAGATAATATAATATAAAAATAAGACTATATTTGGAACCCTGAAATATAGAGCTATTTCTATATAAAATTATAATTATAATTACTCTAGTAATTATAATATTATATTTTATATAAATGCGAAAATAGGGTTTTTATACTAGTATAGACTAATATTTAAAGAATTATATATTTCCTTTTTTTTTTTACTCTTTATTTTAAATTATTATTATTATGACTTGCAAACTATATTATACTATAGGAGCTAATAGAATTAATCTTTAATTATAGGAATAGTATTAAACTCAAATTAAAGAGCTTTATTATATTTAAAAAAAAACTCTTTAGGATATTAGATATGCCTTATAATTAGAAGGATTTAATACTAGTAAGACTAGCTATATTACCTAACTATAATAATAGAATACTAAACTCCCTTCGGATTAATAGCAAGTAAAGCTTAAGGAATATCTCCGTAATAAGAAGCTAGTTAAGATGGTATATTATCTCTAGTATTGAAACTATTTGCCTAAATATATATTTCGGATCTTTAATTATAAACTCGATTATTTTAGGCTTAATATATATATCCTGAAAATAATTTGCTACTATTATAAGCTTTAGCTAAGACGAAATCGATTTAATACCGAGTATATTAATATTCTTAAAGAAGCTAAAGAATTTATTCTTAAGGAACTAAAGAGCGGTTAATTAATCCGGTATAGCTATAGGAGGATATACTACTAGGTCCAAAAGAATACTAGTAAATTTATATCTTATAAGAAGATATAGTAGATATTTAGAATATTAGATAAAATAGAAGTAAAGGTATGAGATAAGTATAAGAACCGGAAATATAGGAGATTTACTATAAAGGGGCCAGGTTAATATTAGTCTATAGATAGGTATAATAAGTTATCCTATTACGGCTTCCAGATCTATAGTATTATTAATATATATTCTCGAATAATAATTAGTATTTTTATTAGTATATTAAATTATATATAAATTATTATCCTAAAGTTCTATTTCCTTTATATTAGGGAATAGGGCTACTTTCCAAAAAAGTTATAAGCTAATAAAGGCTAGGAGATACTACTTATAGCAGTTATATAAATCGAGCTCCGGCGGTTAGTAAAGGATTATAATTTACTATAGAAAAAGGCCTTTACTTATAGGCCCTTAATAAAGAATTAGTATATTAAGATATAGTAGAATATCTTAGCTAGTAGGCTTATAAAGACCTGGAGACGGTTCTTTAAATCTTTTTATAATACAAGTATCTTTAATAGAAAGTCTTACTATAACCTGATTACTATTTAATTTATTTATATAGATATCTTTTACTAATAGATTAATAACTTTATTCTCTTTTATAATATTAGTCCGATCTGCTCTTAGTAGGCAAGGGCTAATTACCTCCGGCCTAGAGTTCTAGAAGAGCTATATAATTATTACTAGAGAGTTTATTATTATAGTACTTCCCTAATAGGAGCGGCTAAGTAATTGCTTTCTGAGCTTAAAGAAAAGGTTACGGGATATAATTATATAATATATTAAATTCCCGAAATTAAAGAGCTTTATATAACTCTCCTTAAAGATACCGGTATTATATATACTATAGATAAGCTTAAAGCGGGGCTAGATTAAGACTATATTAGGATATATTAGTTTCTTTATTATATTCTTAAATTCTATAAAAAGAGAGTTAGAAAGCTCCTATTTAATATTGAGCCTCTTTATAGGAGAGATAAGTAGTTAGAGGTAGTTCGAGAGGCGGAATAAAGACTAGAGAATATAATTATAGTAAATCGAGGACTAGGGAATATTAAAGAGGATAATCTTAATAGTAAGGTTTCTATAGATAATAAGGGGTAATATAAGAATAATTTAGGGGATTTAGAGAATAAGGGAATCTTAGATAACTTGTTTAATAACTAATATTTGGGCTATAAAAGTTTATTTATACTAAGCTCCTTAAAGGCAATATTATAGCTATATATAAAGATATAATCCCTTTAAATTAATATAAGGGATTATATGGTTATATAACTCTATAGAATTAGCTAGCTATAAAAATGCCCCAAAGCCGGAAACTTATAAAGAGTCTTAAGGGCTTTGGGGTATCCGGACTATTACTAGTACCTGGTACTTTTTGGGAAAAGAGTATAATATATTTTATAATAGGTAACCTATTATAGACTACTTAACCTTTAAGTTAAGCGGGAAATCTAAGGACCGGGCTTGTAATTCAAGTCTTATTAAGGTTATTAAAGTCTTTACTAGCTAGTACTATAGATTTAATATAAATATTACGGGAATCCTATAGGTTCTATCCTAATCTATCCAGAAAACATATATAGTATATCCCTATATTTGTTCCGTTAATGTTTATATATGATTCCTGAGAGCCGAACTATTACCTAAGGAGGAAATAAGAAGACTAGACTAATATCTTTGAAAACTAAGGCTTTAATAAGTCTATCTAGAAAAGCTTACTAATTTTTCTAAAGATAACTTAAGCTCTAATAGGCCAGAAAATTTTGAGTTTATTATATATTATGACTTATATAACTAGGAATAGGAACTTGAGTTTATTATATAAAATTACCCAGATATAGAGATTCCTGCTATAAACTCCTTATTTGGATTAATTAGTTAAACCTATTTTTGATACTAAGTTTTTATTAGGGTAACTTCCTGTTTCTAGAGGCTTTAGATAGAGTAGCTAATAAGTTTCTTAGCTATTAGCCAAGACTTATTAGCTAGAAAATCTATAAGTAGTAAATAAGATTATAAAGTAGAACTCCTCTAACTATAATACTAAGATATTTTACTATAATATAAAGTAATTAGATATAGAAGCCCTATTAAATATAATATATCTCAAACTATAAGTTTGCGAGATAAATATAGAAAGTCTTAGTATTTAACTAGTATTATAGTCTAGCCCGAAGGCGCCTGCTATTCTTTATACCTAATTTAATAGGAATAAGAAGTACCTATACTTTAACTTAAGGAATAATTAG